CTCAATGCATAACCAGAGGACAACAAGTCACAATCCTAATTATAAAATAAGCCTCATCTGCGTGGATAGTTAATGGGAATTTACAGCTATGTTGTACATGTATCATCTGAGGAAGTGCTATGTAATATTATTATTCGTATTGGTAATCATACGGTTTCGAGTTCAATTTGGAATTAATTTGCACGAGCGAGCTTTTTAAAAAAACTCACAAGTGCAAATTAATTCCAAATTGAACGAGAAAAACCGTAAGATTACTTATTAATAATATAAACATGAAAAAATTTGCGTGGAGGAAGTGCTGAAAGACCTTTCTTGAAGCCATTTTTTCTCAATTGAGAAAGTTTTTTTCAAAGTTTCTGCCCAAACTTTTCCTCATCATTTTACATAATATCATTGGCTTCGAAAATTTCCTATTGTCTTTCAGCCAATCAAAATCCAGAATTACGATGTGTAATTTGCACTGGTGTTACACGTTTTGTACTGGTGTTACAGTACTAAACTGCACTGCTCTTGACCAAACAGAATCGAGTAATTTTTTCAGGTATATTACTAATAAATTAACACCAATAAATGATTGAAAATTATGTGCAACTAATGCTTACCACAGTTAACTACAGTCAACAACACAAAAATGCTATAAAGTTGGGACAAGGTATCGATACGTCATTAACAATATTGTTTTAAACTGATATTACTTTTATCACCTTGAAATGCAACTTCAATTCTCACATCTTGCTTTTCTTCAAGTTTAACTGCTGAGCACGATGTCCTGAATGGTGAGTGTTTAAAAACTATATGATCCATAACATCCCTGCTTGTAACGAAAGACTGCAAGACAGATGCCCAAGACTGATTGACTGGATTGAGGGCAGAACAACTGTTGAAAAAAAACAAATGATGTAATGACATTTGAGATTTGAATATAGCCAATTGAGTTTTGAGTCAAGCAAGCACATAAACTTACATATTTTGGTTGCTATTGTTTCTACTGTTCTTTGCTACTCAGAGTTATGTATTTGCAAAATAAATTATTTCCTCAAAAAATTATTTGAATTTCTTAAAATGCGAAAGTGAAGACTCGAGCATTGAAAATTGATTTTCTGTTACCAAAAGCATCAACAGAAATAATAATAAAAACATTTATTAGTAAACTACTAATCATAAGATGTCTCAAAAGCATCAAGGATTGATTATAAGTTTTGAGCTGAGACTTTCAACTTATGTTTGACTGGTATGGTGTTATTGTTCAGCATAACCCAGAAATTGACTCTTGACAAACTGACACTGTGATTGTCTTAGATTGTTCCCACTACAGGAATAATTTTTCTGCACATTTTCATTTGTCGTAATATTTCATATACTTCATCTTCATAAATGAAAATTGTAAAATATTTCCTTAAATATATCTCTAACAACTTTATTTGCAAAGCAGGTGCCAACTGGGAAGAACTTAATTTCTATATTAAGCTGATACCCAAACCTAAGGCAAACTATAAAGATATATAGAAGATAAAATGAACCAACCTTTCAGGCTCGTAAAACTGCACCTCTGTTTCGCCAAATTCAAGCAGTACTTTAACACTTCCCCATATGTGAGATAGTGTGAGTGCACCACCGTGTACACAAACGGCTACATTTGAACTTTCGTTTCGGGGCACTTCAAAAGTGATATCACTTGAAAGGTTTGAAACAAAGATATCTGTTGACACAAAACACTGCAACAATTATCACTGTAAAAATGATGGTGCATGAGATGAGGATGATTCTTGTACTGTCTTAAGCAAGTTTTTTTTAAGAGACTGGACAGGTATAGCAGATTATTGGTACTTGTTTGACCAGCTAGATGTAAACTATATAAAATGTGGGTTTTGTGAAGAAATATATTACATAATACCTGAAAAAACTCTCAAATTATTGCAAAAAATGTTGTAACTAATCCAGTGCTAAATAACGAAAATATTGCCTTTTTTCCAGATTCCCACCTCCTCATTAATCTCACTTCATGCCCATCATCGCTCCTAACTTTGCGTCACTTTTTATCTCTTGGACCTCGACCCCCTCCCCTGTCGCCAACTTAACATACAGCAGTCGATTAACACACTGTAAATGCCCAATAGATCACAGCAATAATAAATATTTTTCTTTCTCTCTGATTTACCTTCCTAGATCCATAATAAAAGTTTTCTTTCCTACAGTATAGTTAAGCTTAAGCTTAATTAAACTTTAAGCTCGTAAACTTAATTTGGCTTAAAGTTTAAACAAGTCGTGTTTGTAAAACAATCAACACTCCATGATCGTACAGTACAAGTCACTACATCAATACACCTATCTTTATCATTAGTTTATTTTCATGAATTTTAATCGGGTAAAGTAAATATTTAGGCAATGAGAAACCATGCATTGTTCATCTCACTAGAAACGCGCGCCGCTCGAATCTCTAACGCAAATATCTTCCTGAAACTTTATGGCAAAATTACTTTTATAATAGCAAATTTGTTGATCTCTGGTGAAAAAGAGCGATTTAGAAACTAGTCCTACTTACCCTTGCACGTTAGAACCCCCGTGACGAGTAAAATAGAATGAAATAGAAGATGAAAGAACAAACATTTTCCCACGGTACCTGCCGCCATTTTCCTTTTAGTCTCGTTAGGTTATCCGCTGACCATGAATCCTGTCAACACCCTTGTGCGGCCCGCGACATTGCGAAAGTGGCGGCTAAGTCGGCGGAGTGGAGCGGAATTTTACTGAGTTAAAATAAGGGTACGTTCCTTTGGGGTGATCTGGATCAGGATCAGTGATCCAAGATCACTCGGATCATGGTTCATCAAAGGAACCGATGAATCCGTGACCAGA